CCGATTTTCAGCCATGTCACATACAGTCCTCAATCACTGGTTACTTTTGCCTCGGCAGTCTAAATTTCTCCACATGACTCAGACCAACAGTAAGAGACATCATCAACTGGCACCACGTCTTAGTCCTGCCACCCTGAACCCTCTTCATAACTAATCCAACTTCCCTTGACACAGCACGTTTAGGTAGGCGTTGACTCGGCATGAGCAGTACATGCTCAAGTCATCTCAATCAATGAAGCTTTACAACGTCATCAATTGACTTGCCTAGTACCCTCCGCCTGACCTCAACACTGCTCACAAGGTGACTGCACCAATCGCAAGCAATGCTACGAACGAATCTGTTATCAAACCTCAGTAATCGCTTCATGTCTTCTTTTTTAGCGGCCATGTCTCACAACCGTAAAACGGGACAGAACCAACTGCTGTGAAGTATACAGTCGGATATCTCGCCACTTGGCACCACAGATGATGCAAGTTAGCAACTACCAAGCGGGCCTCCTATCCCCAGGGTGAGACTTCGTCAGTAACCAGGTGGTTTGGGTTGATCAAGCTCCCCAAATAAGTGAAGTGGTCGAAACATTACACCACTTCATTAGCTATCATTAAACTGGGAGTACTTGCAGCAGACCAGTCCTGTGGCATCATCTTACATATGGTAGGTGCCAGCGAAGCGCATTAAGTATATACTCAGATTTCTGTGCAACGCATCCAGAAGACCCTCTATTTTGTTAGCGTCTTCACCAAGATCACCTGGTACTGACTAACTAACTTCAGTGGACCTTGAATAGAATGATCAGTTTGCAAATAACTTATAAACTATCAGGTTCATATTACCATTTCTCATAAGTGAGCAGTTTTTAAACTGCCAAACAAGGTTTTCTTTGAAAACCATGCAGACAAAAATGAAAAAGTGTCATCTCTAACATAGAAAAGTGATGAACTAATGGAATATACTAGTATTTAGACCACTCTGATCTGACTGGCAAAATCTACAGATTAACCTGAGTGTTTTCTAGGCAATCAAGTTCTTAGTAGTATATTACACAATTCATGCTTGCTAAACCGTTTTCAATGGAAAACATGCAGATACTGAAGTTAGGAAGTTTAAAAACTACTCAGCCTTGGAGAAATGTCAATGTGGACAGTTCAGTTTATAAATCATTCGCAAGCTGATCACTTTACTACAGAAATCAGAAACATCCATTTCTCGATGAAAATTTCGACTTCGCAACAAAAGCGAAATTTGGAACCAAAGCGAACGAGTGATTCTCCAACAAAAACCAAAAGATCGAGTTACGCGTAAAGTTCAAAACACAGGATTCCTCTGGAATACGGTTCTTTGTGAATGAACAATAGTGAATGATAAATTAAAAACTTCGAATTGCTATGTATCTGTGGGTTTATCGCTGTCAAAACACCTTACAGAGGGTGTGGCAACAGTACAACAGCTACGCTGTGTCTAAGGCGCTTATGTTCCCACGATGAAGTAAAGACGTGAAATAAACATATGTTCAAGGTAACATAGAACATCAAGGTGAAACGAAACGGATCCTAACACTATTATAAACCCCAAAAGGAACTAGCATCAAGAGATGTCAAATGATAAACAAGGTATGATTGGATAGAATTAACAGTCGAAAAGGGGATGAATGTATATTAAAAGATAGCTGATTATACTACTCAATAATGTTAAGTAGTATAAAACTAAAGGTAAAAAAGAAGGAAAGTTATTACATGGGTAAACGAGGGCAAGGTGGGAAGGGAATTAACATACAATATTTCCAATAGAAGTAATTATGGCAGCTAAGTAATGTTAACAATAATTATATTAATATGAGCATTCTACATACAAGGGATACCGAGAGTGAAATAAATGTTTATTAACGATTACAAATTTGAGTAAGTCTTTTTTAACACTTGTTTTCTTCACACAAAATGTATGCGCAGTAAGGTTAGAGTTTTTGTATTACACCATACAACCATAAGTTCTTACGAAACACTGATTGGTCACTGGAGTGCAAAACAATCTCATGTTGTGCTGACCGAATCCTATCGATAATATTTGCATTGTGGCCACCAAGCTAGAAGTCTCACCATCGTGGTTCACTTTGATGGATGTTAGTTGTTTGAAAGTAATTAGTAGGAAACCGTGCTTGACCTAGGTTTGTCACATTTTAGCACTCTTAATCAAGGCGTATATGCAACGTCGACGAAGTCACCTCTTGTCTTTAATGGGAGGATACAAAAAGGAAGCAGTGAATGAAAAGGAGGCTCAGAGTAATAAAACTTGAATAAGTAATTCCAAACATGAATTTAAGTCTGTCAATGACGTTTTCAATCAGTTGGCCTACCGATATGTTTTCATAGTGTGAAAGAAGATGGAGGTTTTCTGAGAAATGTGTGGTGTATTCGCGAAATACATTTCGAATAACTGGATCACATATTTACTTGTCAAGACATTTTATATGGAAAATGAAAATAGGGTGGGATACATAAATTAAGATATTACAAGATCTGGAAAGTATAGGGATAATAAGGAGGAATAATACACTTCCACATCTCCCTTGGCAGGAAAATGAGATAAAGAATACTGAGGTAGGTTTAAGGTGAGGACAAATTGTTTTTGAATAGACAAAAGGAATTTGAAATTTCTTATAGCTAAGGCTTCAATGAACTTGAGTTTACGATCTTGACAACTCCTATACACTGGTCTAAAGGGTGTTTTGGAGTCAATCCAGTGACTTGTTTCTATAATATGTTCACCTATCGAAGATGGCATCTATCTGCCTCCTGTATTTAACAGATCATTTGAAGTTAGTTGTCTTTCTAGTATTTAAGGATGCACTTCACCAACTTCGACTTTACAGTTCGATTACTCTTCCCAGTGTGTGTCAGCGTACCCATTTATGCAATGTTGAGGTTGATTTCGAAGGGTTTCTTCTGCCTTCTCTATAATACTCAGCTTGGCTGCATAGTATGTCTTTTTTACTTAACTGAAATAAGCCATCTTCTTAAGATCATACTGTTTCATTCTCCCTTAAACGTTAGTGTGACGTAAAGATTTTTTTTTTGAGTACAGAATACTGATTATTCAAAAGGACCCAACGTATCTTCAAAACATACACACTGGAAGAAGAATTCAAATTTTTAACACAGAAACTCATGGAAAAAAATATATCCTCTGAGGTTCATCAGTCGTTACAAAAGCTTCTCAGTGGTGCGAACTAATCACTATTCTGTCCCGAACAAGAATATTTACATCACGCTACCATATAAGGGGGAATCAAACAGTATAATGTCAAGACGATGGCTTATTTCAGTTATTAAAAAGACATACTATGCAGCCAAACTCAATGTTATACAGAAGGTGAAACCAACACTTCAATATTAATCTCACCACCACACAAATGACTACCGGTGTGTGTGTGTGTGTGTGTGTGGTGACACATAAATTGGGAGGAGTAATCGAACTATGAAGTTCAGGATGGTGGAGTATATAGTCAAACTACTGGTTCTGTTGTTGTAACACGAAGATCAGTCTCTTATTTATGCATCAATGTGAAGTGTGATTTAGATCAGTCTGATGAAAATATATTTGCTCCTTTTATTTTAACGAGTAATTCAGTTGTTTTAATCATCCATCGAATACTACAATCCTTGAAGAATTCTGAATGCAAGCTATACAGTTCTACTTGACTTCACGTGAAGTTTAAAATAACGCTATCAAGTTTGTAAAACGTTTCACGAACGACACCTGTGTCCCATTCATGCTTGGATTGAATGCTGAAAAAGTAAAGTTTTGTTGTAATTGAATTGAACTGTTGTTCAAAATCTTTCATTTAACTCTGCAACCTTCCATTCTGATAGGTGCTTACAGATTTTTTTCTCACTAATAAACCTAAACAGTAATTTGAGATTTTGTAGGGATTTAGTGATTTTTCAACTTGATATTCATCATGGACTGACATCAGTTGGAGAAACATTGAAAACCTGGGAGCACTGTACAGATATTTTGTCCTAGTATAGCACTACTCAGCATTGAGCACCTATGACTCCACCATGAATTGAACCCGAACTTTCGTGTTCCAACCTCCTAGGTTCCCAATGTTCCTCCAACTGATATCAGTTCAGAAAATGATGAATACCAACCGAAACAATAATATTTGTAAAACTCAGAAAGAAACATTTTCTGATTCACTATTTGTCATATAGTGTTGCCATGACTGTGAGGTGTTCGAGTTCAACTTTCAACTAGTAGTTCATACGTTAAAGCACTGTTCCACTTAACGAGATGTAGGAAGTCACGTAGTGTTATTAGCCCTCACCCAATAGGTGTGACTTATCGCCTATTTCACAAGCGTTCATGTAACTGTTGAGCTACATTTTGATCTAGATCCATCAAGTAGGCTTAGGAAGTAGTCATAAAATACAAATTTTCATTTAATTACCAACTAACATATGAATAACATTAACATCACTTTTAATTCATGGAGGCAAACACACCTGCATGGACAGAATGCTGCTTTGTTTACTAACAATTACCATTTTTTGGATTTTCAACTCCCAAAACTCCTTGAATCTGAAAACAGTGTGAACTTGTGAGGTATACAAGCAGGCGATTTAGTATTTCGCACATTTTACTATAATCTTGCCAATGATAAACGGAGCAATATAATAACTTTCTTACTCAAACAGAACAATATAATGACTTTCTTACGCAAACAGATCCTTCTTAAGGGTTGTTAGGCAGACGATCACGTTTTTTCCCCTTTTTTGTCGAAATAAATGAGTATATAAAAGCGGATGATATAAAGTATTGATAAGCTTTATTGATATATTCCGCTTAATACAGTAAGTAAGTTTTTGAGAAGCCAATTCAAAGCCATTGTTATCACATCATGACTGTGACCGTCACTTTTTTTCCCTTTTAATCACCTAATGTCAGATAAATTTTCAGCTAAACTTTCAAACAATGACTTTTGTTTCTCAACTGAATTTAGGCATGGTTTTAAAACTGGATCTAAAAACTTAACAGCTGAGGGAAAGGAAGATGACAGTCTTGACGACTATATGATTGAAAAGGTGAAGGAGAAACAGGATGATGAAGACATTGGAGAGGAAATTTACAAGATATTCAAGCAAATTCAACCTAGTAAAGGCTGGTTCCCAAATGATCTTCATGAATTTCTTAACTTTTACGATATAGTTAGTTGAAATAACCAAAAGATATATTGTTGTAATTTACTGTCAATGATATTCTTCTAGTGTAATTTCCCATTATTGAAAGTCAAAAAGGAAATTGTAAAGGAAGATGAACAAATTTCTTCAAAATATTTACATGATATGGTCCTATGTGAAATTGGTAAGATTAAAACAAATATCTATTCACCTCGTTGAACATTGGACAGGTTCAGAAAATATCGTCAAGATTATTCAGGATATGGAGAATAGATTAAATGATGGTTTTGAGGAAATCATCAACCAAATTGATAGCTTAAATATCTTTTCTATACAACATAACAGATAACCAAAAACGAAATGGTCATCATTAGTGTTGCAGTATTTCGCAGAGATTAAAATAAATGGACATCATAACATCTGTTTATTTGCAGTCCATTTACAATGAATCCTGGTAGTAAAAAAAATTTCATTCAATTAGCAGTTTTATCTGAGTTTTGCGAAATAGGCTAAACTGTCGGTGAATAAATCAGTTGCGAATGAAAAAAAACTTATCTGTTATTTATGTCGTTAAAATCGTTTACAGATGAGACAACTTAAATACATTATGCTATAGTACATATGGTTTTGTTGATATTTCCAATCAGACTCCTACTAAGCATACATTTCCTTCAAAGGGATTGTGTTATCCTTTAGTTGCATTATGAAGAGCCAAGATTTCACTTGGAGAATGAACGGTCAGTAACCTAACCTTCATTGACTTAAGATGATTGAAAGTAATCAGCGAGCAGTACCCGTAACCTTAAGGGAACTGAAGTCACCTGTGGGATTCGAACCCGCATCATTAGGTACTGCAGTCAGATAAGTTACTGCTTAGCTGTTTGGTATGCCATCAAACTCCTGTGAGACTGGACAGAATACAATAATTGGTCACTAAAGAGTCGCCAGTCTCCTATTGTCTATTCCCTAGTGGTGATCAAATTCCATTGAGAATTTTGTAATGGGGTCACCAAGTTAAGAGACTCAGCATGAAGGTACAATTTAATTGATGTTACACTTGAAGCTTGCTTGACCGATTTTTCTTACTTGTTAGCACGTGTGTCTCCAGATATGTTTCAGATATTGTAACAAATTAGGATTTTTGCAAAACTCTCCAGCGCAAGGAACTTCAAGCAGAAACAACCCTACGAACAGCTTGCTACTGTTCATTAAATGATTCTTTGCATAGACATCGTTCTCAAAAAGGGGGAAACCTCTATGGAATTATCTTAAAAATTAATACAAAAATATTTATGATAGGAATTTATTGTATTCTGGGAGAAATTCATTCAAAGTTTTGTAAAGGAAAAATTTGAAACTTTGGGTGACTTTCATTTTTATTTACAATATCATCTGACCTTATCAAGCTAAATGTGTTAGTCTTAAGAAACATGGTCATTCCCAATGGATCTTCATAGACCATAATTTTTCCAGGTACATAGAAGAATGTAGGTTAAGCGTTCGCTTGTTATTATAAGAATAAAACTTAGGCACTGTGGTCGATTGTAATTTCATTTTAGTCTGTTTATTAAAAAATTTCACAAAGTGAAGGAACATTATCATTTACTGGATAACGTTTCGGACACAATTCACTGTCCATATTCATATCAGATAATGCCACAACATCGAGACAGAGTTTATATAATCCTAATCTTCTCTCTTTCTCTGTGATGACAAGGGTAGTAGAATTTTCGATATATCTGGGACAAGTGTAGAATCATTTTCATTGCATGTATTTGGTGTTGATTCGATAAACTTCCCTATTATGTGATAATGTGTAGTTGCATGCAAAGCTATAGTCGAGTTTTTTTCTGAATTTCCTATCCTATTAGGATTTAGTGGTTTTGATCCAGGTAAGTTTTTGTGCTCTATTATTCTGATCGACCCTGATCGACTACTTTGACCTAGGTATTTGACCTCGCAATCATATAAAGGGATTTCGTAAACCCGATTATTTATATCGATGATCCTATGGCTAAACCTTCAGTTTGTTTATATATTTTATTTTGAAACTGTAGATGTTTGACACAATCCTAATGAAAAGATGTTGCCATGGGATCACCAATATCCTCTATCGTCGCAGACATATTGATGGATAGTTGGGAACGGATAGCCCTTTAAACATTTAGTCCTACTCCACAGATATGGTTTCAATCTATAGATGTGATACGTTTACAGTACTGAAATCGGAACACATCAAAAGGTTCCTGGCACATATGAACTCAGTAGTGAATGCAATCCAGTTTACCTGTGACTAAGAAAGTGAAGGTGAGCTAGCAATGTTGGATTGCAAGATTAAATGAATACAAGACAGAAGTTTAGAGACTAGTGTCTATAGGAAACCCACGCATTGCTACTTATACTTCAAATCCTCTCCCCCCCATTTCAGTCAAAGTAGGTCTAGTTAAGTGCCTAGGTGATAGGGCGAAAAAGCTTACTAGTAGACCGGAAAATCTACGACAAGAAATTAGACACATCAAGAACACTTTGTGTCTCAATAATTGCCCACTAAAACTTATAAATAAATTCATAAGAAATCGAATGAAAAATATTAGCAGTGGTAGTAACACCAACAATACAGGTGTTATTAATAACAATTCTACTACTAATGGTAATAATGGTGACAGGCTTAAGAGAGAATTCAAAGCCTCTGCTGTGTTACCATACAAGGAAGGCACCTCAGAAGCACTACGAAGAATTCTCAATAAGGCTGGCTGGCATTAGAGTGGCATTCAAACCAACAAACTCACTCAGAAACAACCTTTGTAGGTTAAAAGATCCTATCGATGCAATTAACCAAAATAATCTGGTTTACCAAACCCCTTCCATTGCAATGATTGCGAGGTCAAGTACATAAGTTGGTTGGTCAAAGTAGTCGACTAGGATCGATTAGAATAACAGAGCATAAAAACCTAGCTAAATCAAGAGTAGTAAATCCTAATGAGATAAGAAATCTAGTGAAAAGCTCGGCTATAGCTCTGCATGCGATGACACACGATCACACAGTAGAGTGGGATAGAGGGACAGTGTTGAAAACTAACTTAGTTGGTTGGAGGGAGAGATTGATAACCGAATCTTTGTTTATCGAGTCAACATCAAATACATGCAATCGAGATGATTTTGCACCTGTCCCAGATATATGTAGAATTCTTCTACCCTTTTCATCACAGAGAATGAGAGAAGATTAGGATTATATAAACTCTGTCTCGATGTTGTGGAGTTACCTGATATGAATATGGACAATGAATTGTGTCCGAAACGTTATCCAGTAAATGTTACTGTTTCACTCTGTGACGTTTATAATAAAGGGACTAAAATGAAGCACTCGCTTTACTGTCGAATATTTATTTATCAGTAATTATGATAAGTTTGGTGACGATATTTCGGGTTTGTTAAAGAAGGCGTACCTGGTGTTTGCCAACTCACGTCACCTCTAGTGTAGGCCAGCGTGGTATCCGACTACATGTTAAAGGATGTGTATGCGATGCTGTGGTCCATCCTGTCCTGTTACATGGCTATGAAATCTGGTTGGAAAACATAAAATGAGCTGAAGTGGTCACAGGTTTTGAACGGAAATATCTCCACATCATTGCTCAAATGTGTTGGAATCATCATGTGAAAAACCTTGATGTCCGTTGAAGGGTACTAAGCATGACAGACAAGTAAGTCGATGGGGTTGTGAAACTTGAGCAAATGAAGTAGCTTTGATGTGTCACGCACGCTGAATCACCGCCTACCTCGAAGTGCTATGTTAGACGAAGTTGGGTTAGGTTGGAATAAGGCTCGAGATAACTAGATGAAGATGTGTAGCCAATCCATGAAATGGTTTAGTAAGGTGTAGACTACCTGATTGGGGGTCCCACAGTCGATCGCGATCAGTAGTCGAGGAATTACGGTGCAGTGGCTGAAAACTGATCACAGTGGCACAGATGTATTCACTTCTGGAAGGCTACTTAAGCTTGAATGCTTTGACTACTCTTCATTTTTACTTTCAGTTTTCGTCTATGTGTGTGTTTATATAATTTGATATCGCTCCTTTTCTGTCCACTTGTTCTTAGTATTCTGCAATGAAGTGTAACAACATGAACCTATCCACTTCTGTGTGAGGTTTTCGGTTGATTTTGTCTTTATTGTCAGCTTGTCTGTCAGTTGTTTGAAGCGAATTGCTCAAATTAGTATAGACTTACGGGTTATTTACAGATGGTATTACAGTAACACCTTCACTGGATTAACAATATCCTGTGGCGCCAAAAGCTATTACGTCATAAAATTTATTTATTCATATAAAATTGCTAGATTAATCTCAGTTTTGCTAGACTGAATCAAACCAGGTCTAAGAAAATAACACATTTATTGTGAGAATAGTTGTTTTATATGAGAATCGAAATTTTAAATTTCAAGACAGTTTCTTTCAGAAGACAAAATCTTCAAATGACATCATTTCTTCTAACACTGAAGGCATACACCATACACTACTGACTGATGTTGGGTGATAAGACTCTGTCGATCTTCCGAATGATTACTGCCAATTGAAAGTAGTCATCTACAATCAGTGGTATGAGTCAGTATTAGAAACTGAACTATTCAGGCAACGAAAATTAGTCAGTGCTATCTCATGTGGTCTCAGTTTCCAGTAAGATTTTTTTTCGATGATGTTTGTAAGGTGGCTAGTAACTTCGTCAAGGACGTTAACATTGTAATCCACGTTAAAACATCTCGTGTTTTTGAAGGTATTTGCCGATAGTGTTTACTTTACCTCGTTTATTCGCACTACTGAAAAACTTAGTAGTATAACCATTCAAGTTTAAAAAGGCAAGGGCTAGTTTCAGCTTAATCGAAGTCATGTAGCTGTGAAAATACGACTAAATAACCTTCAATCTGCCTGGTTACAGACTGAAAACCAAAAGATTAAACATCGGTATAGTCACTATCACGTCTATTCAATCACATTCATGAACTTAAACACAGCATAGATATACACAAAGAATCCATTTATCAACCTAATCCCAGATGGTAATCATACTCAGTTTGATTTATGTAAGCCATGTGATTACTAAAAGTTAATGATTTAGAAACATATTTCATCAGTTTATTTATTCATTTCATCTTCTAGCTAACTGTCATTGAAGAAGTATAAGCATATGAGACTAAGAACTTTCGAAAAGTTGTAATTTCTTTGAATCTATGGTATTATAGCTTGTATGTTTCTGCCATTGATTGGACCGAATCGATTGCCCACTATTAAGATATGCGCTCCTGTGCGGACGCCTCGATACTGCCAGTATTTTTACATTTGGTCGTAATGATAAATCGTGACTGACAGTGGAATCCAGAAATCGCGTTTCGTCCTATTTGGGTATCAGTAGGCATAACATGCACTTGAAGGAAGGTACACTCAATTGACTAGTCCCAGAAAGGACGAGACGAGCATCCTGGATGCCATTGCTAGTGACTACCCATCATTGATATTAAAGCCCTTCTAAAACTGTAGTTTGACCATAAATATGTTTGTAACAACGGATAAATTGGAACCATTATCAAGCATTT